GACGTAAAAATCTCGCTGCGCAGTAGTTTTTAACTTTTAGCGGTTTTTTGTTCTTGATTTTGTATTCATTGGCTGATAATTGCCGTAGATATGAAATTTAGAGTTGAATAGAAAAATTTATTTTTTCTTTGTTAATTTATATATGTATATATATACATATATATATATATATATATATATATATATATATATGTATATATATATATATATATATATATATATATATATATATATATATATATATATATATATATATATATATATATATATATATATTTATAAATATATATATATTAGGGCTGTCCAAAAAAAATTTTTTTTTCAGATTTGATTGCATAGTTGTTTATTTTGTGCTATTTGACATATTAATTAACTGTGCAAAAAATCTTTCCGATCAGATAATGTTTAGGGGGTGCTCAATGACCATAAAGTTTTACAAAAAATGTGAAAAACATGGAAAAAGTAACAAAGTTCCACAAATTTCTAAAACCCGGTTAATTAGATTTTTCAGATTTGATCAGTTTTAATTATCTCTAAATATTAAATTCTGAATACAAATTACAATCCACATCCACTTTATACTGGTTTATTAGCAGAGAAATTAATGAAATAAAATACTGCAATACGACTAAAGTTCTGCGGTTTTTGTTATATCAGAATTTTTCCAAAATAAAACACTAAGATTTTTGACTCTTTGTCATTGATTAAAATACGAATTATAAACAGAAAAAATTATTGTAAAGGAGTAACAGTTTCTCAAACCGTTATCAACTACTAAGTAGGTCAACTCAAAAACATATGAGCAATTAACATTTAATTATCGTAATGTTATAGTTCGTGCAATGTTAATGCTAGCGAGGACTATAACTCTTCAGAGTACACTTTCTGGCATCTGGCACTCGCTTTCTGTGATCCTCAACCACCTGAATTAACCTCTGCATTTCAGATTCATTCCTTGTAATCGATTCATTAAACATCGACATTAAAGCCACAGATCGTTCGGCAGCATCATTTACTACTTTCAATGAATATACTAAATTTTTTCCTTCTTGGTATTCTGGGGAATCATTCCAGGTAGCTGGATCGTTGTTGAACAGAAAATCAATATCAACCTTCATTGACCGCAACGCACTTGCTGAAACTGATGTCACCAGCATGTCCAGAGATTTCTTCTCTAGACTTTCAATGTTCTTTAATTTGATCAACCTTTCAGACCAGTTCTCACCGTGAAATTTCATGTTGGAAATCATTTTTCGCTTCTCTTCCGTTTTAAGTTTGTTTGAAAACAAAGCTAGTGGGACCAATTCTGGTGAAAGGTACCACAAATGGTTTTGAAATTTCTTGACTGCTGCTTCGGAAATCGTTTTATTCACAACTGCAAACTACTTAAGTTGCTGAAACAGAAACAAGTCATTAACTGGAGCATCGCTGGCATTTGGGCATGATATCCAAGATTTTACATAAACCAGACTAGCAAATAAGCAAAATTCACAGAGATTTTTTTCCTCTTTTGTAGTCAACTTGAACTCTTCACGAAATAAATAAATCTTAAAACAATAAATAACCTTGGCCATCCAGCGAGCCATGTGATAAGCACCAGGGATCTTGAAATGATAATTTTTCTCTTCTTGATCAGGCAGTTTTCCAAGTATTAACAGACAGAGTTTCATAATTTCTTTGTAGTCATCCCTTGGCATTTTAACATTCAGGTTTTCTTTAAGGAATGCTATCACTTCATTTTGTAGTTCTTGCACCAGGGGTATTTTCATTCGAATGTCATCCAGAGGTTTAAAATTTCCTTGATTAACTTTGGGCCAATATTGCTGAAATCTCTGGAAAAGAGGTATGTTGGGACCAGATGATGGTCCAAATAGTGATCCAAACGCTCCTGCTACTATGATCTCATAAACATGGTGTCTGCAAGCAAAATATAACAAATTTCTACCTATATGTTTCTCTAGAACTACACATGCACCATTTTCGGAGCCAGTGTTAGAGGCTGTAGTATCAAAACTCATTCCAATAACATCATCAATTATGTCCCAGAAATTAAGCAGATGAATAACTGCTTTTGCTTGGGCTTCTCCAGTTCCAGCTGATAGTTTTGCTATTCCAAGTATTTTGTCAACATTGTGACCTGTCACACCTACAGATAGCCGGTCAACATTTGCTTTAGGGTCTGCAGAATTTGTACGATCTATCATCAGTTTGCCATCCCAGTGGACGATTAATGGTGGTTTGTCCAAATCGCAGAATTCAGTTCGAACAGTGGCTTCAATGTTTGATCGATGATAGGTTCGTTTTCTACGGACTGTAGAACGTGACAATGATCCATCATCGAGGTTCTGTCCACCAGCCCTTGCAATTGCTGCTGCTAGTATAGTAAATTTTGTGTCAGATAGATTAATTCTGTCTAATGTTGATGAAACATCAGGCGAGTCAAGAATTGTATCTAAGATACATTGTCGTTTTGGAGTACTTGCTAAACTTGATTCAGCTGACCCTGAAGAACTTGCTTTACTGACTTGTTGTCTGTAATAAACAGGGATTTCTATCTCAAAATCTCTATCAACCATTTTGTCATTATCAACAGCATCGTTATCGTTGTCATCACTATAACTTTCGTCATGTAAAGGTTCAATAACAGGAACTATTGCACTCGCACCAGATTGTCTTTGCTCTTCGTTTAGCTTTCGTTCTCTCTCTGCTTGTTTTCTTGCTTCATTTCTTGCTTCTAATTTTGAAAGTTCTTTGTCCTCTCCAAACATCACCAAAAATTCTTTATCTTCTTCAATTCTGATCATGGTTTCAGCATCCTTGTGGGCAATGTCAAAAAGTAGACCAATGGTGTCTGTAAATGATTTCTCTCTTGATTTCTGAGAATCTGACAATCTGGATTTTTTTTTTTTATTAATTTAAATTCCTGGACTAAAGTTTTCAACTTTAAGACTACATTCGGATGAAATGCTGTCGGAATACGGGCTTTATTCCAAATAATAATCAGTTCATCAACAGTTGTTTTAAGACTTTCAGGCACTGACTTTTTGGTTAAATTAAGATGATAAAAAAATGTTTTTAAAACATCAGATGTTAAGGGAAGAACTTTATCTGGAAGATTTGGCTCTGGTTGTCCAATTAAAAAGATTTCGGTTTGAAGTCGTGTAGAGATAGCAACACGAGATGATGCTGCCATTTCAATGATAACTGAAAAATTATGAGAAAATCAAAACTCAATACCATATTATATAAACTTATCATTCAGTTGTTGGTTTATGCAGCTGCAGCAATATATAATAATAATTATTACTAAAGAAATTAAATAAATATTTTCAAATTAGAAATTATTATTATCTGCACTTAATAACAAACAATACACTACCAGACTACGATGCTAGTTTTCTGTAATAGGTTACTAAGGTTAGGTACTATCAAAATATTAATACATTTGTTGTCAAACTGAAATTACAAATAAAAATAATATTTATACTTGTAAACCTTTTTATTCTGTTTGAACAAATTCTAAATTGAGTTAAATAATAGTATTAAAATTATGAATACAAATTTTAACAAAATGATATAAACACAGTTGTTTTAAACACTAGCAAACATTTTTTAGTCTGGTGCCCTGATGACAGTTAATCTGTTGCACTTTAATTAATCTATATAGCACGCAATCCGACAATATTTCAGTGGAAAAAATCTAACTAACCAGGTTCTAGAAATTTTTGGAACTTTGGAACTTTTTCCACGTTTTTGACGTTTTTCGTAAAACGTTATGGTCATTGAGCACCCCCTAAACATTATCTGATTGGAAAGATTTTTTACACAGTCAATTACTATGTCAAATGGCACAAAATAAACAACTATGCATTCAAATCCGAGAAAAAAATTTTTTTCCTGTGTTCACATGAACAGCCCTAATATATATATATATATATATATATATATATATATATATATATATATATATAAATCTTCAGTATTAAGTATTATTGCCGATTTAAAAATATTACGTATTCATTAACATTGATTGCCTATAAATAAAAACTTATTAACTAGTTAATAATAAATTTATTAACTAGTTAAGGTGGTGTTGTAGATTTTGACATTTTGGAATAACTAGGACGTGGGCAAAATTGTAAATTCTACTTTTTATAGCTAAAAACAGGAGCAACTTATTGTCTCTGTTTAACTTTAATTCGGAACAAAATTTTGACTTTAAAAATTGATGAAAACGTTTCTTTTTAAAAAGGAACGTTTTCATTTTCAAACATTTTCAAACATTTTGGCATGATAAAATTTTATCATGCCAGAATGTTTTGAAAATTGAGTATTTTAAACTTTAAAATAAAGCTCACATACTTAAGCTGAAAATATTTATAACGAAAATAACGAAACCATTATTTCTCCAAAATTGTAGGTTTCTGCATTAGTCTTACTTTTTATGCCGCGAGCGCACCAAAAACTTAATTAAACGCTTGGGAATTATTCTCGAATGCATAAAATCATCTCATAAAATCAATTTAAATTTGAAATCTATGAAAGAGAAACTCAAGATCTACATATTGAACAATATCTTTGGTATCTTATGCCTGTTACACTTTATAAAATTTTGTTTTATGGCAGAAAAACTATGGAAACATGTAGCTTTCCTATCGGACATTATTCGGAAGAGTCTAAAGAGGTGTCTCAAGAGGTTCGTATACAATAGTCAGTAGAGGAATAATTTACGAGGAAATCGTATTCATAAATAGATACAAAAGAACGTAGAACATTTATGACGACATAACGTAGAACATAATGACGACAGTTTTCTCTTTTTGAAAAATTTATTCTCTTTTACGCAATCACAAGTAGACACATATCGCAAATTGACACAAATTTATTTGTAAAAAAAAAGGTTTTTATTACTTTAGTTCCGGCCATAGCAAATTTGAGACCCAAAAACTTTGAAGAATTGTTTAATTTAATAGAAAACAAGCAAAGTTGAAAATTGAAGATTATACAGACACATCTAAGGACTCATTAGAAGAATATCCCAGTACCAGTGAACTCGACTATACGAGTAATTTATTTTATTTGATTAAAACAATATTTTATTATTTAATGGTAAAAAAAAAGATTTCAACAAAAGTTTTTAAATCAAGTTTTTTTTTTTAAATAAAGTGAGTAAATTTACTCATTTAATTTTTATTATTGGGTAATTTTGCAGTTTGTGATTTTTATGCTTATAAATGTGCTGTAAATAAGCAAGTGTTTATTTCAACAAAGGTTCTCTCTCTATTCTAGATGCAAAAATTAAATAGATTGCTAAAAGGCAATAAATACAGCTAAAATATTTACTGCACCCAATTTTAAGTGATTCTATTTTTGTTAGAGATGAAAAAAAGTTTTTAAAAAAGCTTGATAAAAAAGAAAAAAGAAGAAATTTGATCAAAATTAATTGAATCAGTAAAGATATCGATAAAGATATCGATAAAGATATCGATAAAGATATCGATAAAGATATCGATAAAGATATCGATAAAGATATCGATAAAGATAATTGATAAAGATACCTTAGATACAAATAAAGTAATAGAAAAAATGTCTGAAAAAGAAATCAGCTTTTGAGAGAATTAAAAAATATCTGAAAAAAGTAAGAGGCGTACTGAACAATCACACGCATATCTGTCTCACAAGTAAGTGCAGACAAAGTTTTTTAGTTTAACTTTTCTAAAAAATTAAATTAAAACATACCTAACTGAAACAACTTTATCAACATATGGTCGTGCTGTAAAAAATGCATTTTCTCCAACTATTGAAACGCACAATCCTTAAAATACAAAGTAAATTAACTTTAATAGTTTTAATGAAAAAAAGTTATGCTTTATAAAATTTATAAAGAAATAATACCGTAAGCTAAAGTTAAATAATACCGTCAGCTAAAGTTAGTGATTGGTCAACTGCTATTTTTACTGGTTTCCCAGCTTCATACGCTGCTTTAAAGCTTGCACACTTTTCGCTTTCTACACCCTAATATAAACGATAAAACTGTTATTTTAAAAAATGATCTTGATAAACTAAACTTTAAAGTTTACTGGAGCAATAAAGTTTGCTACATTAATTAAGATTATTGGTTGATAAAGTACTTTTTTTTCCAGAAGTTAACTTCAAAACCAAAAGCAAAAAATGAGTCAAAGAATTATCAAAACAAAAAAATAATTCCATCGCATTGATGAGGGAGAAAAAAAACTAGAAGAATAAAAAATTTAAGAGCATGAAAAGTAAAAAGTAATGGAAAAGATTAAGCATGCATAGCATTGATACAATAAATTTATAATTAAAACAACACATTTTCCCATTTATGATATATACTTTTATAGAAACGAAATCAGATTTATGATTGGTTGGCTTTTCTTTCTCTCATAGCTAGAGTATATTGTTGTAACACCATTTAATAGCGCTCCTTGTAAGTGGCACTACAGTACTCTTCAAAGGTAAGATTACTAGGGAAATTAATAATAATGATGAGGTAACTATGCAATTCAGCATCAAAGATTAAAGCTTGTGAAACCTCAAAATAAAAGCTTATGGTACCCCAAAGATGAAAACTTGTGGTGCCCCAAAAAATGATGGAAAAATATTGTTTTCAATCAAAGATGACTTAATACTGAAATTAAAAAAAAAAATAATTTCCCAGACCGTATAAAGCAAGCTAGTGAAGAAGACGAGAATATTAGAATTTATCAAAAACATTTCTACATTACAATCAAGAGCCTTTGTCTTGATTTAAATCTAATACGAAACAAAACGTAGTAAAAAAAAATCAAGATTCAGTATAGACACAAATGTTAAATAGTTTGACTACTTTTAAAGAACTTAACTTCATTTCAGATTTTAATACTTTTATTTAAGTATATTATGTACGCAGTAAGCACAGATTGTTTTTAAAATGTTAAAAAAAAAATTAAAATCCGTTTCAATACGTTTTTTAAACGTTTTACTGCTTACTGGGTAAATATATCTGACTATTAAGAATTTTTTAGGTATATTTTGGTTAAAATTATTGTAAAAGATCTTTGGTCAAATACTATTCAAGATTAGTCATCAGACCAAATTCAATTATTTTACTAATCGCTTAAGGACGGCCCTAGTAAAAAATCAAATGAAAAATACTAATATATAAGGCTTAAATAGCCTGTCCTCGTTTAAACGGGAAGTAAAACTGTACTTCTTAAATTCCTGACAAGCGCAGCGTAACAAATTCAAGTTGAGATGAAAAGTTATTAAAAATTCAACAGCTTGTAACTTGAACATCTTGAATTCGAAAGATCATTTAAATCGAAGAAATTCTTTGGTCTCTTCAGGTTTTAATATGTAGGATTGAACTCCTTTAATTGAAAAATTTTGTAGTTCGAACATATTTTGAGTCTCCTAGATGATTCGAATTTTACGAGTTCAACTGTCACGTATTATTTAAAAAAGATTTCCTTTTTTTTCTTCAATATACATTTTTTAAATTTTTTTAATATTTTATTTAACTTTAGTTTCTATAATTTTATTAATTAATTATATTTCTTTTTTACTAGTAATTTACTATTATTCTTATTTTTGCTTTGCGATAATAATTAAATAGTTAACAATTTAAGTTTGTTTCATAATATATATATTTCACATTAATAAATTTTTATGAATTTAAGTTTGTTTCATAATATATAATATTTCAGATGAGTCAGTACTTCATTTAAACTAAAAATAACATTATTTACTTCAAATACAGCATTTCTTATTCGTTTACAATTTTTATTCAATATCTATTTTTACATAATAGATATTAAACAATTTGACATCCATGTCATTTTTTTTTGCTTGGAGATTATGATTTTGTGTTAAAATTGGTTTAAGTTTGCATGAACACGACAGATTGTTCTCGTTGACTATTTATTTTAGAATATAATTGAAGAAAGTACACACAAAGTTTCAATTAATAATTTGTATTTTGAAATTACATGTAAATAAAAAAAAGGTATTTGTAAGAATGTTGTAATAAAGTTCATTTTGGACGAGTGAAAATTTGCAATTTATGGTTGAAATTGCTCCTAACTGAGTGTAAATATTGGTGTACAAAGACAAATAAAAAAGAACTGCATTTATATGCAAGTTTCTATATTAATATTAACCCTCGAAATATTTTGAAGGCATCTGTCTTAGATTAATAAAACGAGTTTCTTTATTGATTAATGATTCTTTTAGAAGCTTCAAAATTATTCTTTAGTTATAACTCTTACATCATAAATGAGGACTGATAAAGAAATCTTATGTGGGTTGTTAAAAATTTTAAAGTTAAAGATTTTTAAATATCTAAATACTGTATTTGCTTACATGATGACAGACATTGTTTGTCAAATCAGAAGTTACACAATAGTAGGAATTGGAAGGATAGTAAGCCATTGTAGCAGTAAAAGAGATACAGCATTTTTTGTGATATTGGTTATATTAATTTTCAGCTGTTATGCGTTATGAACAATTATTTTTTTCTTTTAAGTTCAATAATTAGTTTTTAAAAAATGCTCATATGCCTTTGATTTAAAATCAGGAAATCAGATTTTAAGGGCTGTGCTTGTTCCGGTTTAAAAAAAAGAGTAATTTACAGAATGTTTTTATTTGAACAACATCGTGTAGATACTCATATAGGTTATTTGTTATACAAATAAATTTCCATCATTTATTACATTAAACAAATAAATAGCCATTAAGTAAGCTCAATAATGATGTTAGCTCAAGGTGTATCAAAAATTTAGGAACATGCAATAATATAATTTTGACCCGAGAATAAACTCTAAAGATATACAAAATTATCTCAATGTAATTTTTTAATAAAATAATAAGCTAAATATCTCAGTATTATTGACGTATCATCTCTTTTTATCTCTTTAATTAGTTAATGTTATACAAAATAATAAGAATACTTTAACCTTCTGTATCTTGGCTGCTCATTTCTAAAAAATAATCTTAATTCAAGTTATATTATAAGGTAAAGAAATCACGAGTAGACTGCAACATCCGCTGATGAGGAATAAGCAATGTATATTTACTTAAGTTGAACTGAAAAAAAAATTTCAGCGGTTATGTTATCTGTTCAAAATGTGAAAGTCAAGCTTTTTTGTTTTTGGCCATATGTTTCAAAAGTTTATAGAAATTTTTACTTTTTTTCCTGGGTATCAATTTCCCATTTTTGTACCAAATGGTATTTGTTACACGCAAATTTTGTTATAAAATCCAAACATATTAGTTTGGATTTTTATATACAAGCGCCATCAAGAAGTTACAGAGCATCCTTGAGTGAAAAGAGTCACATACCGCAGAAAAGCAAAGTTATTGGACGCTTCAAATTTCTTGATTCCACCGCCAAAAACGGAGAGAGAGAAACAATATAATTGTTGTTAAGCTGAAAACCCTATGGAGCAAAAAATTGAACTTTCCATATATATATGATCATTTGTGCAAAACCAGCTAAAAATTTGAAAGATTATGAGCGCTGCGGAAAGAGATAAATTTTTAATGCATCATCGAGACTAAAAGCGAATGGTTGTGCAAAGAGGTTGAAAATCTGTAAAAATTTAAAATTGATAAAAAAGGCCAGGTTGGTTATTTCATTGCTAAACCTGCTAGTGCCAACACCATCCATCCATCCAAAAGAATTAATCAAAGCGACTTTGTCCACAGTTACCTACTCCGTCTCATCTGAAAACCGCAAACACACTTCTTGGGATGATGAGGCAGCATCAATGAGCAAAAGAAAGCTAAATGCTAAATATGCATTGCAAGACGTCTTGTAACCTCGAAGCTGCCTTTCAACGGAGCAGCAAAGGTGTGCTTTTAGCTTTCTGGTGAGGGTATTGAAATCCCGAACCCATGCTAGTCAGAAAAATACAAAGCTACATACATAAGAGCTGCTCAGGTAAAAAAACACTTAGTAATCTTGCTTCAACTGAAGAATAGGAGCGTAGATAAATAATGACAAATTGATGGCTTTGAATATCAAGCATTTGTCCTCAAGAATGAAGCAAAAGAAATTAAGTTGGCTGCACTTAAATAGAAAGATGGGAAAGCTCAAAAAATCGTAGAAGGAATTCACAATGTTTTAAAGTAATTCAACTGTGAGGATCAGTTGTGATTATTATTGCCGATGCAAAAAGAAGTCAGGCGTTGCTGTTTGGCTTCATCAAATGTTCGAAGAGAAAATTTACCACAAACCCAAGTTCATCAGTTGCCAACATTGTGTGCTGGATTGCATTCTTCGCATTGTTAACGACGATGAACTCAATGGAGTGACTAAATCATCAAGCATTGAGTACATTTTTGTGAAGGATTTGTAAAGAATTTTGCGCTGAAGATTTCAATAAAGTATCTGCAGTGCTAAATGACTTAAGAAAAAGTCTCAGATGCTTGCAAAACCACTGGAAATAAATAAATATTCAATAAGCATTATCCAAAGCAACCAGTACTGTGAGAGTGCAATCAAAGTTTTACAAGAACTATATTCTTCTACATTAATCCTGCATATATATATATATATATATATATATATATATATATGCATATATATATATATATATGCATATATATATATATACACACATAAATATTAGGGTGATTCAGAATGAGAAGATTTTCAAAACAAAAGTATCTCGTTAAATTTGGTACAAATATATAGAAGTAGGTTTCAAAGCATACCGGGCATTTTCTGACCACTCTAGACCCTCCCTCAAGACTCATTTTTTGTGAAAAAAATGTAAAATTTTTCGTCAAAAGTTGCTGATTTCAGTGACATTGAGTGTCTAACAAAAACCAAGTTGGCTGAATTAAAAAAAAGGCCTACTCTACATACATTTTACATTTAAAATCAATCGTATTTTTGTTTTGGTTTTATTACTGAGCATTTTTAATTCAAATTATCTATAAATTCACAAAATTGTTGAGTTTGTTGTGATACTAAGAAAGCATTTAAAGTATACAAATACATTTTTTCTTATATAACAGGAATATTGAACCGGCCTTTAAAGTGAAAGGGGGCCATTTTTCAATTTTATATATATTTTTTATTTATTATTTTTTTTTTTAGTTTATATATATTTGCTGTTTATATAATAAAAAAATATAATTACATAGAAACATTTACTTACAAAAAAAGTTGATTTATAAAAACAGGCAGGGGCTCAAAGAAGATACGGATGACTAAAGTCACCATAATCTTTTCATAGAGCCCTAAGTGGGCTTTAGAAGTTTAAAATAAAATAAGATTGTTAAAAATACAATTGTACAATTCCAATATAATAAAAAGATAAAAAAAAAAAAAACTTTCATAAATATTTACATTTAAAGAAAGAAAGGAAATAGTATTAATATAATTTTAACAACAGTCATTTAAAAAATACTGACATTGTTTTGAATATAAAAAAAAAGACACAATTTTTTTTCAAAGTAAGAATAATGGAATTCGATGTTTATTTAGAAAAATTGTAAAATTATTTATAAAGTTTAAAAATTTCATTTTTTATTTGAAACTTGAAGGAGTTCAATGATTTAACCGTATTTAAATGTTTGGTTTTTTGAAATGTGTTCCATAGTTTCGGCCCACGGTATGCTATTCCATGCACAGAATACTTGCTCCTAATTCTAAGCAATTTATAAGAATTCCATTGGTTTATTCTAAGAGACTAATTATTGTTAACATTTTTCGTAAATTTATTATTAAAGGTTATCGGAATCAGGCTGTTATTATATTTATACATAAAAATTAAGTGTTGGTAAATATTAATTTCATATATACTCATCATTTGCATGTCTTTCATTAGTGGTTTTGCATGTTCATATAATTTTTTCTTATATATTAGTATGCATGCATGTTTTTGTAGAGAAAATATTTTTTTAAGTTTTGTTGGTTGAGTACTAGCCCATGTAATATTAGAATACTAAATAAAACAACGTATTAGGCCAAAATATTTGATTGGATATAATTTACGTGAGGAAGCCATGATAAATTTTCATCAATAAGAATTCCTAAGAATTGTATTGACTCATTTTTTCTAATTAGCTTATCATCTAAAATTAAATCTGGTAATCTTAAGGGAAGGTTTTTTTGTTGTGATTTTTTATGGAAAAGAGTATACTTTGTTTTATCTACATTAAGTGACAAAAAATATAAAAAAAAAATTCCTTGAAAAAAAAAAAATATATTTGAATAATAAATGCTCGTTAATAAAACAAAAACAAATATATGTATGATTTTAAATGAAAAACGTATGTAGTGTAGGCCTTTTTTTTAATTTAGCCATATTGGTTTATGTTAGACCTTCCCTCAACGTCACTGAAATTAGCAATGTTTTTATCATAAAAATTAAAAATTCTTAACAAAAACGAGCCTTAAGGGAGGGTCTAGAGCGGTCAGAAAATACCTGGTATGCTTTAAAACCTACTTTCTTTGTATTTGCACCAAAATTAACGTGATACGTTTTTTTGTTTTGAAAATTCTCTCATTCTGAATCACAGAATTGTGCCAAATAGCTAAATAAACAACTTAATTCGTAAAAAAACCACTATAACTTGAAAATCATCTTCTTTAGGAAGAGGGGTGGGGGGTATAACATCCCACAAACACACCCGTAAAATCGCCTCTGTATATATGTATGTATTTTTTTGTAATATATACAGTACTTTTACATTCGAATGGTTGTATAATAAAGTTTTTTCGTCTGCATACATAATTAACAATGTTTTATGAGAAACTTTATTCATATCATTTATATGTGTTAAAAGTAATAAAGATCCCAAGATTGGTCATTGTGTGACTTTGCATACAATATTTAGAGCTGCTGACTCTTTCAGGACAACATATTGTTTTCTTTTATTAAGATAACGTTTAACTTACTTTTATATTAGGCCTTCAATGTCTAAATGCTCTAAATTTAAAAGTAAATTTCCGTAAACAGTACCGAATGCATGGTTTTTTTCAATGTACGTTTTAATTTATTTTATTTATGTTTTTTCAGGAAATGCTTGTACCATCCACATAAAAAAATGTATATACATATATATAGACTTACGTCTTAAAAATATTTTCTAAATTTAAAAAAAAGTAGAAATAAGTAAAAAAATGTGCAAATGCAATCCAGTATTCGCCACTGGTATTAATAATTTTAAGCAACAAAAGTTCAGTTTTTGATGTTTTTATAAAATATCAATTTCAGATATCAAAAATAAAATTATTTTCACTTTTATTTTAAAATTATTGTCTAGTTTTTGCAGTGCTATAAACCGTTTAGTCTTTTGGAACACCTGAATTCAATTCGTCAGACTTACTTATTTTGTATTGTTAAAGAAAATTTTTAAATATAGATATAAAAAAAAATATTTGCAAAAAATTAAACTTTACTAAAACAATGTTTTAATTATGTGATATCTTTATTTATCAAAAACTCATAATGGTCACTTTACCCAAATAAAAAGTGGAAAGAGTCAGATAAAGAAACTAATTACAAGAATATATTAAAATAAAAAAATATATATAAATGTTTAAATTACTATGACTTCAATATTTGGATGAAGATTTTTAACAGCTACTGCACATCCAGCAATCAATCCTCCTCCACCAGTAGGTATTACAATCGCATCAATTCCATTAACATCCTCAACAATCTCTATACCACAGGTACCTTGACCAGCCAATATATCGGGATGGTCATATCTAAGACAACATATTTATTTTTATTTTAAAATTCTTTAAAGTTAAAATTTTTCAAAAATTTTTAAATAAGTTTTGTAATGCAATAAAAGATATTTTTTTCAGACATTTTTGCTTCATTGTTCCTTGAGATCTGTACTCTCACCTGTCGAATAAAGGGGGTCTTGATTGAGGGAAAGTCTGAAATAAATTTAAAATTTGATAAACAAGGGATCTAACTAATCTTCGGGATATATATATATATATATATATATATATATATATATATATATATATATATATATATATATATATATATATATATATATATATATATATATATATATATATATATATATATATATATATATATATATATATATATATATATATATATATATATATAAATTCAGACATTAAGATCTTCTTTTTTTTTGTTAATTATTTTTGCGGCAAATACTATTTTTTATTGTGTGTGAAAAAATGTCTTTATATGGCAACGTTTACGCCTAATTTCATTACGGCAGGTGCTGCGATGGGGGTACTGCCGCCTAAATTATTACATACTTCCTATATAAATGGTAGGTAAATTATATTTTGATAAAAGCGTAAAATTATATAAGGAATTAGTTGTTTTTTTTATCTTAACTACCATGAATTTATTATATCATGAACTTGAAAAGTGTAATTGGCTTAAATAAGTTTTTTTTATTTAACAATATATATATATATATATATATATATATATTTATAATATATATATATATATATATATATATATATTTTTTTTTTTTTTAAATAATCAAACTTACAATATCCAATATTTTTGTTAATTATAACTTATTACCAGTGTTTGTTTTTCTTTTTAGATCGTAATATAAACAAATAGCTAAAACTAATGCTGAAAGAAAGTAAATGGAGAAGGCTTAATCAATTTTTAGGAAAGGAATTAAATGTTAAAAAATACCAAGTAAAAAAAAGAGAAGAACACTCAAAGTTACCATCATCTAAAAAGCAAAAAGCTGATATAGAAAAATATATCAGATAAAAGGAAAAAAAAGATTTGTAGAGAAAAAAAACTAAAAATAAAACTAATGAAACTACTTGCTAAAAGAAGCCATACAGGATACTTCTCTATTAAGGAATAGTATACTTCTTTATTAAGGGATAGTATACTTCTCTATTAAGGGATAGTATGCTTCTTTATTAAGGGATAGTATACTTCTCTATTAAAGGATAATATACTTCTCTATTAAAGGATAGTATACTTCTCTATTAAAGGGTAGGATACTTCTCTATAAAGGGATAGGTAAATAAAGTTAAAAAAACTAATGTTACCCAATAGCCCATCAAAGCAAAAAGCAGTTGTTTTATCAAGAATAAATTTATTAATTTAAAAAAAAAATAATGGGAAAAAAGATTTTATTCAAAAACCCCACATGTATATATGCATAAGACGCATGCTTTGTTTATGACAGAAAATATAAACATAAAGATTGATGTAAATAAATTTACAAGGTTAAGGCTTTTACATATTCTCCTTAGTCGACAAACGTCAGCTAATGATTGCACATAGATATTCATATCATTATAAGATTATTAAAAAAAATTAAGAAAAAAAGACGGAAAAAACACAAAAACAAACAGTTCTATTCTTGTCAATAATATATATATATATATATATATATATATATATATATATATATATATATATATATATATATATATATATATATATATATATATATATATATATATATATATATATATTGAAAAAGTTTGTTGTTGGGTAGTTTGGCAATTTTGTACTAAAAATGTCACAAAAAAGTAATAGAGCACCAAAAAAAGCAAACGAAGAGGAATTCTTAATGCTCAAGGAAGCAGTTGAACTATTAATAATAAGAGTTGTTAATCTGCAGAAAGAAAACAAAATATTGAGAAATCAAATGACAATAGCTGCAATAGTAAAACAAACAAGAACTGGAGTGCTCTATTTAAAACTAAAACTAAATCCCCGGAACAACTTAGCATTTCCAAGGCAATTACCGATATCGTTAAGGATACAGAAAAAAAAGCAAAAAACTTATTAATATTTGGCGTTCCACAACAAGATGAAAATCCAAATGACAGCGATCACCAACTAATTGAAAAATTTTTCAATTCAATCCAAATCAGTGGAAATAAAATCAAGAAAGTGCATCGTTTTAAACCAAAACCAAAATCTTCCTATATGCCAACAACCTTAACTTCAACTACACATTATTCCTAAACTTAGTGTAAATCAAGCCAACTATAACAACAAAACAAAAGTTAAGTAATATTCTTTTAATACCATTAGCTGTGCTTACTTCAATGCTAGATCAATTAATAATAAATTACACTATCTGCACAATCTCCTCGAAAACAGCAATCTTGATATCATACTTGTTACCGAAACTTAGCTAAATAAAAATACACCTGACTCATTATTGTTGAATGGCAAGAATTTCAAAGTATATCGATATGATCGAAACAGTAAAGGTGGGGTTTACTTATATTAGTGCTGAATAATATCAATTCACTTTAAACAAATCTTAATATTCCAATGGAACTACTAAATACTGAAATTACATGTGTCGACGTGTTTGTCTCATCAATTGAGCAAAAAATACGAATTGCATGCATTTATCACCTTCCATGTGCAGCCATCAGTATTTTAAAAACCAAAGCTTTGTGCAAGGTAATTTAAAAAATTACCTCCAATTGTAATTCTACATGTATCATAGCAGGCGACTTTAATCACTTATAAACTGGTCCCAATTAGTTTCGGAGATTCATCTCATGACCTTTTTGTAGGAACGTGCTCCGCAAATGCTTTAACACAACTTGTATCCGACAATACTCAACTTAGCAACCTTCTAGATCCGATACTAACCAACAACTCTAAAAACGTTTTTAATATAGAAACTATTTCCCCATTCAAAAATACCTGCGACCACTGCATGATTACTTTTAATTGTAATTTGGAGAAATATAAACAATATAAAAAAAAAAGACCAAGCATAATTTTTTTAAAGCTGGTTACAACTCTATTATCTCCAATTTACAAAATGTAAACAGGTATTTACTAGCCAAACAAAATCAAGATGTTGAAACATTCTGGCAAACTATCTGTAATTTTTTAAATTCATCTACCTCATCGCATGTACCGCTAACTTTTAATAGAAAAAGCAATATCCAACCTCTAGCCATCCGAAAAAAAGCCTCAAAAAAACTTACTCTCTATAGAGAGTACAAAAGAACGGGTAATCCATCTACTCTTGTCAAATTCAAGATCTGCTCCCGTTTATACGATGCAGAAGTTCAAAAAAATTGCATTTCCAGAGAGAAAGATTTAGTTGTTAAATCCAATATCGCAAAGTTTTACTCTTTCGTAAATAAAAAATCCAAATGCTATAATTCTGTTGCGCCATTACTTCAAACTGCTAGTTCCCTTATTTCAGATGATTGTAAAAAATCGCAACTTTTGAACAATTTTTTTGGCATTGTTTTTGTTACTGACAATGGTATTGCACCAGTCTTAGATTTACCAAAACACAAAATTTCTTTTAACAATATTATATTTTCGTGCAATTCTGTTATTTATCATCTACAAAAGTTTCTACCCAAATCTTACAAATTCCCTGATGGATATCCTGCCATATTTTTAAAGTCAATTGCAAATGTTATTGCTATTCCTTTTTCTATTATGTTTGAAATGTCAATGTCTCAAAATGTTATCCCTAGGATCTGGAAAACCGCAATAGTATGTCCAATATTTAAAAAAGGAAACCCGTCGTTATCCACAAATTATCGACCTATTTCTATGACATGTATTGCCTGTAAAATTATGGAATCAATTATCACGGAAAGCGTTACAAGTTATTTACTCCTGAATAATTTAATTTCTGTGCAACAGTACGGTTTCTTAAAACGTAGATCCTCATGTACACAGATGTTGACAACATTAAATGAGTGGACCACTGCTGTTAATAATAAAAAGATAGTTGATATCATCTATATAGACTTTGAGAAAGTCTATATAGATGATATCAACTATCTTTTTATTATTATAGATAATACTGTGTCTCACTTTAAGCTACTATTTAAACTGCGTTGTTACGGTATCAAGTATGATTTGCTAAATTGGGTTACAAGTTTCTTGAAAAATCGTTCTCAACGCGTTTGTATTAATGATTCATACTCAAACAGATTCATGTATATAGTGGAAAATCTCAAGGAACTGTTTTGGGACCCATTTTATTTTTAATTTTTATAAACGATATAACCTCGTGTATTGAGGGGGATTGTGGAATCAAGCTTTTTGCAGACGACAGCAAGTTGTATCAAGCGAGAAAAGACGGAAATAATATCAACCTTGCAAATACTTTAAAGAGAATTTCAGAATGGTCAAATAATTATCAACTCAATATATCTACCAAAAAGTGTTTTCACCTGCAATACGGAAAGAATCTATTACCAGAATATTCATACTTATTGGATATCGACACGTCTATTAAACCAATTGATTCAATCCAAGATATTGGGATATTTATTTCTTCCGATATGAAATTTTCTAAACACTGTTCTCACATTGCTAGCAAAGCAAGTTTTTGTGCTTACTTATTCTTAAAGTCTTTCATCAGTAATAATTCCCAACTTTTGATAAGAGCCTATAAAGGTTATATTCGACTAATTTTAGAGTCATGTACCCCTGTGTGGAATCCGTATTTTCTAAAAGATATACGTCGGGTAGAAAAGGTCCAGAAACATTATATAAGAGTTGTCTGCAAACGGTGTTGTATTCTATATAAAGATTATGCTTCAAGACTTGATATCTTCAATCTTGACTCACTTGAATGCCGGAGAAAAAAATTTGATCTTTTAATGACTTATAATATTATGCTCAACTTAGATGATTTGCCTTTTTCTGAGTTTTTTACTCTCACTCCTATTCATTATTCAACTAGATGTCATTCCCAAAAATTAACATCACTTAGCAACTACATCAATGATATAAGGAGATTTTTTTTCAGTGAAAGAGTCACTAAGATATGGAATTCTTTACCTGATTATTTGGTGTATTCCTCTTCATTGTCTCTATTTAAATCGAATTTAAAAACATACAATATTTAGAGACACTGTTTACTGTTTTAAACTTGGTGTTAGATAAGAGTAATTCTCCAATTACCTGTATCACCTTTTTGTATTTTTATTTAAATGCAAATAAATTGAAATAATAATAATAATAATAATAATAATAATAATAATAATAGTAGAATAAAAAAAAATACGATTCTTGCACTAAAAAAACTCTTCAACTGCAGTGCAAACATACCTATATATTTAAGCAAATCTCCGAGAAGTGTTGAATTAAATCTACAAAAAATACTTTAGGGAGTCAAATAAAATAAAAGGGATTTCCACTTTTTCATTACTTTTTCTTTTCATTTTCTTTTTTTTTTTGATGATTGCATTCAGATAATATTCTTAAGATATAATATTCGAAATAATAAGGTTCTGAAAGAACATTTAAAAGACGCTTTTTTAGGACCAATTGCCGGCTGGGCAGCTTTTTATTATTTTTTTTAAATGCTACAACCAATCTAAAATTCGGAATAAAGAAGTATATGCAGCGAAACAAATAATAGATGTAACATTATCTTATTATATAATAATGCCTAAATTGATCTATTCTTTAACATAAATATCTAAATATCTGTTTGCTTTAATTGTTTATAAATTATGTTCAGTAAGTAACGTTTATTTCTCTCCCCGTAAGAAACGATAACTAATTTGATTTAAAATATATAAATATTATAACTTTTTGTGGAAAATTATAAATTGTAAATCAACAGCAATAAGTACTACATTATATCCTGGTTGGTATTTTATTTATTTTTTTGTTTATTGGAGTAAAACAGTGTTTTTATTTTCTATTTTTAGTGATAATTTATTTGTCTTAAACTATATGTTTAGTTTTTTTAGCTCAGTATTTTTTCATTTGTAGTTGAGAATAAGCTAGTATTATCTGTAATCATTGCAGTTTTAAAGCTGTTTGAGGCATTTGGAAGGTCTTTAATATAAACTAAAAACAAAAGGAAAGCAAGTACGGAACCTTGGGGCATACCACATTTAGTTTTTATTAGATTTGAGTTGTTATTTTCTCAAAACTTATGTTTTAACGTTTTTATGTAATGAATTAGTTTTTTATTTAACATTTGTAAGGAAAGAAAAATATAAAAAGAATTAAAAAAAAATTACAAAACTGTTTTACATTATTAAACGGGGATGAGGGGATGAGGTACTTCAGGTGGCTTCAGGTGGGTCAGAAGCAACTAAAAAACTTTTATTTGGTAGATGAAAGTACAAGGCCATAACTACTTAATTAAGATTTAATTAAACTATTCACCAAAAACAAAAATACAACTTACCCATTGATATAAACAAATCCTTTTTCTTGAGCTATTTTTAAAGCAAACTCTTTAGCTTCAATAACATCTGATCCCTCAGTATAAACAGTGGCACCATATTTTTTACATCTACTGACTTTAGTAATAGGAGCATTTATAGGCATACATACAGTAACTGGGATATGCAACTCTTTTCCATGATAAGCTAATGCTAATGCATGATTACCTGCTGATGCAGCTATAACACCGACAGCTTTTTGTTGCTAAACATTAAAAGAAGCAAAATATTGAAATAAAAAAAATCTAAAGATTTATATAAATATTTATATGCACTAATTATTGCCCAACATACCTTGGTTAACATTAATAGAGTATTTCTTGCACCTCTTTCTTTAAAACTGAAAAAAAAAATTATTTAGGGTGATAAAAATTTTAATAAAAATGAAAATTACAAACCTTTACACTTACTAACAACTAATTTTAAGTGTCTTGAGCTCAAAAAATAAACTTTTGCCTTGTCTATTCTAACTTTCTAGCTTTTTTACTTTTTTACCATAATAGTTGTCTTTACAATAGCATAAAGTATGCTTATTGTAAAAATTAATGGAATTTTTCAGGAAGATCATTCATTTTTTTAGGAAGATCTTCAAACAAAACCCTGTTCAATTTACATTATAGAAGATCTTTAAACAAAACCCTGTTCAATTTATGTTATAGAAGATCCTCAAACATAAGCCTGTTCAATTTATATTTTAGAAGATCTTTAAACAAAACCCTGTTCAATTTATATTATTAAGGATTTTCATACAAAACCCTGTTCAATTCATATTTTAGAAAATCTTCAAACAAAACCCTGTTCAATTTATATTATAGAAGATCTTCAAACAAAACCCTGTTCAGTTTATATTATAGAAGATCTTCAAACAAAACTTTATTAGCAATAATTAAATAATCTTACAATTTTCGTCGTTTTGTTTTCTTTAAGTTTCGTATTTTTTAAGTTTCGTATTCTTTACAAGTTAATATATTAAAAAACTTTCCAGCAAACACTCTATAGGCATTTTGAGTGGATCGCTGTAGTTTTGTTCATCAGTTACTTCCCAGCAAACATTGTTTTAGTGGATTTGCAGTGGATCTATATTGGCATCTTTTAGCGGTTCATTAGAGTTTTGCTTATCGGTTTCCTAGAGGACCATTAGTGTTAGCCGCTATAAATGGCAAGCCGATAATTTTACGACAATTTAATAGTGGCTTATCATCGGCTAGCCACTTTTGGAGGTTGCCACTTTTGGAGGCTGCCACTTTTGGAGGCTGCCATTAATGGTCCACTAAGTACCCGACGATAAGACGACAAATTTTTTTTACATTTATACATAATCCATAAAATGTTATTCGGAGATAAATATTGAAAGATTTTATTTCTTTAAGTACTTAGAGATTTTAAATTTGTTTAGTTGAATTGAAATATCATTTAATTGACTTTAAAAATTTTTTTCAACTTTTAATGTAGTGAGGTAGCGTTAGTTTTCATTTTCCCCTGAGATTTCTTTCATTATTTATCAGACATTTTTTGAATCATGTTTGTGTCTAAAGAGAAAGTCAGAATAATTTTTTTTTTGTGGCATTTTTGTGAAGTTTTTTAAACAAACTTTTGTGAGTTTGATTTAGATTTCAAGAATTTAACAAACGGTTTTTGCTTGATTTTTAAAAATTTTTTAAGAGCTTTAGAAATCAAAAGAAATTTTTAGAGTTATATTATGTATAAGAAAATTTCCATTACGACTTCGCTAGAATGTTTTTTAAATATTGCTGTATTTGCATCAATTTAAAAACTATTGTATGTATTATTGCATAATAAACATTGTTTATGCCAAAATTAAAATTTATTTGTTTACGGTTTTATTTAAAAACTTTGGCATATAAAATTCGCCGAATGGTCACACACGAGCAGTGAACGCCTGAGGGAAGAAATGAATTTATTTGGTTCCAGTTTTTAATGCTGTAAAACTCAACAAAACTTTAAAACTGTAAATATTCTTGTTACGTGTGTCCCACACAGTGAGCCATAAAGACCGTTAATTCGAATTCTCACTACCTCTAATTTTTTTTTTAAAGTAAATTTAGTTTGTATAAGTGTATTTTAAGTGCAAATAAAATCTGAAGTTGAACAGAAGAATTTGTAATTTAAGTTTTAAAACAGTAAAAAAGACTAAAAGACTTTTGCTTTAAAAACGAGGTAATCCACCATTTTTGGCTTCTTTTTTTTTTAAATAATTTTGAAGTGATAAGGAGATAAAGATAAAAAAGCGGTAAAAATGGCTGATTTGAAACAATCTGTTTGTGCAGTTTGTTTGGAAAAAAAAGGCGAATATTCAAAATCACTATCAAAAGTACAGCCATCCATAGCAAATAAAATCAAGGAGTATATTTGGCCTGAGTAAAATGAAGAATTTACTGTCTGCCCTGACGTTATTTGTTCAAATTGTAGAAGAAACATCTTTTTGCTGAAGAAAGGATCAAGCACTTATCTGTCAAACTAGATGAGTAAAATTTCTCAAGTATATAGTTTATAATTTATTCAAGTTAAATCATTAATACATAAATAATAGAAATTTTTAATAAAGTTTATATTTTTGAATTAGGTTAACAGACCAAAAATTAGACGCAGTACTGAACTTAGTGATATTATTCAATCATCTCATGTTAAAACACAAGCTGTAGGGTATCTAAAGGATAATATATGCAGTTGCTGCTTTTCTCTCCTTGCAAAAGGTTTATGAATAAAGATTAAATTACTTGATAAGTAAATTAAAAGTTGTCAAATATTCATTTATAAGCTTCAATGAAAAAAAACTTTTCTTTAAGGTTAATAAGTGTATATTAATTTAAGAGCTAATTTTATTATTCAGTTTTGTTTTTATTTTCATTATATAATTGTTGAAAAAAAAAATTAATATGTTTATATAGAACTTAAAAGCACAAATAAAATGCTCAATAGATATAAGGCTTATTATTAAGCCATTATTTTGATTGCTAACAACTTTTGGAAACATTTGCATTGTAACTTAAGTTAAGGATAAGTTTAAAAAAATATATAGTTTAAATATTGTTTATTTATAAGGTGGGAATCCATTATCTTTAACTGTTGAAACTAAAGACAATAAATCTTCAAGAAAATCTTTCAATCAGATATCATTCCAAACTGTGATGGAATTAACTTCTATACTGGAATTGACAAAAAATCAAACAAAAAAATTGATATCTAGTCTGCGTAAGAATCTGGGATCATCTACTGTTGTTGAAAACAATCTAGTTAGCATGATGTCATCGTTACAACAAGAAATTGAATCTAAATATAAAATAGAACAAGATAATTTAATTGGATTGATGAAACTGTCACAAGAGATATAGTATTTATGACATTTCTGAATTTATTCTTAGTATTTTAATGGAAAGAAGCTTGGATCCTCTCTCCAGAATGGTACATATATCCCAAGGGTAGAATTAAGGCATCGCGATTTGCGATATCTGTTAAATTATCTGGTCTTCAAAGTTTCAGTTTATGGAAAACCACGAAATTTACGGAATAGGCGAATAAACTTTAATTTGTTAGTGAAAATGTTATGAAAAACAAAACAATAAATTTATGACTACAAAAGTAATAACACTACAGTGTTGTTACTTTTATAATACTCTTTTAAGTTACATTTATAGTTTATTGTTTGATCAAACAACACATAATCAAGCTATTATAAATAAAAATGATTTAGTTAAGTAATTCCAAACTTTAATTAAAGTAGTAATGCATCTAGAAAAAATACAACGGATATTTAAACAATGTTAAAAACCTAAGCAACTTTTAGAAATACATATTTTTATAAACAGTTTAGCATTTCTAAACATCTTACTAACGGTCCGGAAAAAACGCGCGTTCACTTTAAAATCAACCAATGAAAACACTGGTAATTTACTTCTTAGGAGAAATCTATATTAAAAAGGGAGGGGGGGGGGGAAAGAGGCTATAAACTTAAATTTTGTTTTATTATTTAATCAATTAAATCATAATAAAAGTAAAGACAAAAAAATATATTTCTAAATATACTTCTTTATAACTAAAATTAATTAAATTGAACACCTCTGTTTTTAGTTTTAAGTAAATGTCAGTACTACTCTCACTGGCGAAACTGCGGGCAGGGCCGGCGCGAGTAGGTGTCACGTTGGGGGGGGGGGGGGGGGAGTGCCATTACAACTTTTGCCGACTAAAAAAAAAAAAGGTCCTTGTTTTCCAAAATTTGCCGACCCTTAATCGGCAAATTGGACCGTTTTAGACTAGTTAGACGGCAAATGTCGGCAAATGTTCGATATAGGTTAGACAGTCGGTAAATGTCGTCATGACAGTCGGCAAATTTTGGAAAACAAGGACCTTTTTTTTTTTTTTTTTTATTCGGCATAAGTTGTAATGGCACCCCCCCTCACGTGACACCTACTCGCGCCGGCCCTGCCCGCAGTTTCGCCACTGAGAGTAGTACTGACATTTTCACTAATAAATTAAAGTTTATTCGCCTATGCCGTAAATTTCGTGGTTTTCCATATACTGAAACTTTGAAGACCAGATAAATTTAAAAGACATCGCAAATCGCGATGCCTTAATTCAACCTTTGTATCCATTGATGGAGGTCAAGGATTTCTTAAAGTAATTGCAAATGTCTTTGATAAGGCCAATAAAAATGAGATGTATATTGACAGTGGAGTTGAAAAGTGTTTTATTCTTGCTATTGTTGAAAATGTTTCTGAAGACAATGGAAATCTGCATAAAATCTTGAGTAGATTAAATCTAGGTGACGTTACGTATTACCTTGCATTTGACTTAAAATGTGCTAACAGCATCTTCGGTTTATCTACTCATTCCGGTAAATATGCCTTCTTGTGGTGTGAAGGTGAATGTTCCCTAGAAAGTGGTACTCCCAGAACGTTAGGTTCTTTTGATCATTGGTACAAGTTATTTGTTGAAAAGGTTAAAGAGTGCACATTTGGACAAAAATTAGGCAGCAATGTTTCTTCAGTTATTGAAGAGTTCAAGATATAATTTTTTGACCTACTGCAGTATGTAAAAATACATTTATATGCAGAGCTGAATGTTACATGGAAAGTGCATATAGTTGCTTGTCATATTCTCCCATTTGTGAAATTCAATTCTTGTTCTCTAGGATCATATACCAAACAGACTGGAGAGGCTGTTCACAGTGCCTTTAAACCAAGTTGGTCTCGATATAAGCGAAGGATTGGGCATACAGATTATGGTAAACGATTAAAATTTGCTACAGCCACTTTTTGCTTAGATAAGTTGTAAATATTATAATATATAAGTAGTTGTGTTAATATTTTTATTGCATTTGTTTTTTTTTCCTTCTTATTACTATAAGGGACTATGGTGTATTAGAAGTTTAAATCATTTTAAGTTAAGACTTATAATAGGTTATATTTTATTTTAAGGAGGATAAATAAAGGATATTGATTTTGAAATTTTTTTTAGGGATTATTATATCCTTTAAGGGGGTAACTATTGCTTTAAGGGGGTAAACAGGGTTAAAAAATTAAGTTTTTTTGGTACTTTTGATCTACTTTAGATTTACCCAATACAAAAAAATAACATATTTAAGCAGCATTTATCTTTATATGAAAAAAAATTAGAGGTGGGGAGAAGTTGAACCTGGCGGTCTTTATGGCACACAGTGTTCTTGATTAGTGTAAAAAGTTGTACTACAGAATCTTTTAGGTTCTGTAATACTTTTAAGTTTAATTTCCGAAAGTTTTAAGTTCATATTTCAAAATAATAAAAAAAATCTTATTACGCATTCTATAACTTAACAATTTGTAACAATATTTTTTTTATTAAAGATACAATTTGACATCATCTTACTCAAAAAAGCAAAAAATATTTGGAAAAAGATTATTCAATAATTAAGAGCGAATGAATAAACATAATTAAGAGCGAATGAATAACCATGTCATAACTATTTCATTCAATCCGCTATTTCTTTTTACCCTGTTTTACTCTACATAAAGTAATCAAATATAAAAAATTCATTTTTTTTAAAAAGAGTATTAAAAAATTTTTTTAATACAATAAAAAGTAGAACTTTGCTTTACGAATGATAAAACCCTAGTTTTAGGTTAAAATAATATAAAACGTAAAAATTCAAACTAGAATAATTTTAGTTTGAATATTTACGTTTTACGTATAAAATTATTTTATAAAAAAAAAAGCAACTTTTTTTTAGAACACTTAATACTTAGTAGTGCAGAAAAATATTATTAAAAAATGGCACAAATAGTAAACTTTAAAAATTTATTTAGTGTTACTGTCAGAGATTTAAATATAAATTTAATTTTTTAAATGTTAAATGGTAAACATGTTTTTTTTCTTTAAAAATTTTTAGATTTAAATATATATCTTTCATATTCTGTAAAAAAAAATATATATATTTATTGAAAAAATAAAATCTCAAAAATATATAAAAATAGAAAAAGTCACCTAAAAAAATTGAAATAAAAGAAATGTGGCACAGTCTTATTGATTTTAAAAATAATTGTTGACAACTTCGCCCTAAGTGTTTTATTCAATAATAAATGGGTCGAGTGACATAACTTTTAACCTGGCGGTCTAAATGGGGAACAGTATTGCACGCAAGCGCAGTTGGAATTTATAATCTCGACAAATTAAAATATGGTTATGGTTGGTTTGACTACTATCGCAATTAAGTCAAGTTTGTTAATTTATTATAAATCTAGTCAAACTTGTTAATTTGTTATAAATTTAGCACAAAATGTTTTATTTTTTTATGCAGAATAAAAAATGATTAAATTAGAATAAAACTAATTAAATAAAAATAACAACCAATAAAGTAGATAGTTATAAAAAAAAACAAATAAATGGTTAGTAGTCCAAATTTTTCCAATTTTTCCAAACAATAACAAGATACAAAAACAATAACAAGATACAAAAACAATAACAAGATACAAAAACAATAACAAGATACAAAAACAATAATAAGATACAAAAACAATAAAAAAAAAAAAAAAAAAACAATAACAAGATATAAAACAATAACAAAATAACAAAAACAATAACAAGATATAAAGGTTTGAGAATGAATGAAAATTTCTCTTTTGAATATTTTGTGGTCAATACATTGGTGGAAAACATTTATATATGGTTTTAAAACCAAACAAATATGAAACTTTTAAAATAAACATATATTTAACAAACGTTAAAAACTGGTTCTTTACCTGCCAGTCACTTGCATATAATCTCTCTTTAGATAAACATCCATTTGAAGCAGATCTGATAATGCACAAGATTTCTATGAATACATACGTATTTATATGTCATAAATATATCACCTGCAAACATGCTATAGCGCGTTTTTAGTGGACCTATATAGGCATTTTGAGCGGACTGCTGAAGTTTTGCTAACTCGTTACTTAGTGGACCATTGGTGGCTACCGCCAAAAATGGCTAGCCGATGACTAGCTACTAATAAAATGTCGGAAAGTTATTGGCGTGCCATTTATAGTGTCTATCACTAATCGTCAACTAAGTAAACGATGAGCAAAACTCCAATGAACCGCTAAAAAATGCCAATATAGGTCCACCGCAAACCCACTCATACAATGTTTGCTGGGCCTATAAACACACACACATATTTTATATAAGGACGATTAAAAATTAATTGTTGCAAAATAAAAAATACAAAAACAGTACACAAACACGGTTTAAATACGAAAATGCGCAACGCAAAAATTTTACCGGTAAAAAAAGATAATAGAGTACGGAAATTTTCTCTTAACCCTAACCATATTGCTGCACCAATCCAAACCATCAGTTGATATAATAATAATCCTTTGTACGTTCTCCCTAAATCAACCGATGTGTGTAATGAAGCCCCCAAGTCCTTATTTCCGTATTTTAATACCGTGCTTTATGCGATGAAATTTCTGCGTTTCCGCTAATCAACAATGAAACAAAAACTTATAAACAAAAACTCAACAATATAATTTTTGAAATTGACGACTTGTTAATATACTTTCAATAATATTTAGTAAATCTGCGTTTTAAATTTATAACAGATTCTTGAGTTAAATTAAAAAAAAAACTGAAAATATCTTGTTTTCTCTGACCACTTTTATTCATTTCGAGAAATTTAACCACGTTTATTTTTGCGGTTCAAAAACTTACAAACTTTTACTTATAAATCTTCGTTTGTAACTTTTATGATATTTTTTATACTTATAAATTTTATATTTTATAACAAAACGCTTTTAAATTGGTTAAAAGAACAACATTAAAAAAAGCAACATAATTTAAAGTTACTTTGTGATGGGTTGTGTATATGCAGTAAGAGTAAATTAAAGTAAAAAGCTGTAGAGTAAAGTAAAAAGATCGTTTTATGAGTAGGTTTAAGTTCAATACTCACCATTTTGGAATTGAACGTAAACCTTATATATCAGTTGATTGCTTCAAGTACCTAGGATATCACTATATTAGTTGATTGCTGCAAGTATCTAGGAATCCTAATAAACAAAAATTTAAGCTGGGATGGTTAATGGATAAAAATTCATAACTCTATTAAAGATAGAGTTATGAATCTTTATATTATCCCTATAAAATATTTGTTCATACTTAATTAAACCTTCTTTAAATTTATAGATCTTACACACTCACATTCTGTACCGCGCCCTGATGATAGCCCTATTATACATTTTTGCGTTCATCGTCGGCTACCATTAACGTCATTCTTCGGCTATCGTGTTTTTGAAATTTTAAAAATTAAAATTTTTTTTTGTCAAAAATTAGCAATTCATGACATTTTTACAAGTGAAAAAATTTATAAAGTTAAATTTTTATTTTTGATATTAAAAGCATGGAAGTAAATGACGTTAAACAACAATTACAAAAATATCAAAATATGAACAATAGCTTGATTAATCCAAAAGTTAAAATAATGGAATTAGAAGGTGATTGTTTAGTTAAACTTGGTAATAATTTAGAAACTGTAAGAAAATTTCTATTATTACTCTCAACAAATAACCTTGAAGTTTTAATAAAAAAAAAACAAATGTTCCAAATACTAAAGCAAAAATACATTTATTATAATTTTTTTTTTGTTAATGTTTTATTAACGTTTTGTAACGTTTATTAATTTATTTAATTAACGCTCAATGCGAATAACTTGATATTTTTAAAAATTGTCTTTTTATTAAGAAAAAAAATAATCTGATTATTTAACAAAGACAAAATTTAAAAAAGACTAACATTTTTAAAATTTCAAAGTGAGTAAAGGGGCTATCATCAGCGCCCCTGTACTCTCGTCTTTCAGTATTGCAGCAAAAAAATTCTATTCCACAAACTATCACTCAAAGTTATTGAGATCGATGCAATAAACTCAAACCAATTTAATATTTGTCACAATATTGAAGAGCTTACTGATAAAGCAAATAAAAAATTACTTAAAAAAAAATATATCTAACCCAACAAATGCAATACATTCAAAACCTCAAGCAAAAATCTTGACAGATTATTATATAAAAGCAATACTGCTGACACTGCTGATTATATTAAAAAACGTTTGTTCAGAAATATTTACGTTTGATTCGAGATGGTATCAAAAATCTATACCTTCATAAGGAACATTGACGGTACATCTCCCACATATTATTTTTAATTTCAGAAAATAATACTCCAAATACATTATGAAGAAAAAATTGTAAAATTCATTTACATAATATGTAATTTTAAATAAAAACTTATAAAATAAATAAATTGGTGGTAGTATCACACTTAATCTGTTTCTTGGTGGAGCGGCTTTGTTTTTCAAGGCTTGTGATTAGGAGTTAAAAGGTTGCGATAGGGTTCTACCAACAACCAAAATAAAAGAAAGTCTTGACAAGCACAATATTTGCCGGAACCGAACTCTCCCATTTATTTTCTACAAGCACTCTAAAAATACAAACAACAAAAAACAAAAATTTAATTTTACTTTTATTAAAGTTAAATTTTTGTTAAAGGTCAATTTTTTTTAAATGGTTTTAATGCGCAACCATCATTGATGCCAATTAAAGTAAGAACCATTATTATTCTTAACAATAAAAGTTTTGAGAGAAAGAAAGTACATTTTCAACTAATACAATATTGTGTCAATTAAAAATATTTGTGTTATTTAAAATAGTGTGTTCATATAAAAAGAACGAAATTTTGTGGATTGATAATTTTAATTTGGATTAATCCCAGAAATAAAAGTTAACAGAAACATAAAAAAACATTTTCAACTAATACGATATTATAATCAACTACATATATAATTTTTTTTTTTTTTACTGACAGCTTTTTGATAGAATAGAATAAGTTTTAAAAAATAATTACGTATTTTGTTGAGAAAAAGATATTTATATATGTGTGTGAATATATATATATATATATATATATATATATATATATATATATATATATACATACATATATATATATATATATATATATATATATATATATATATATATATATATATATATATATATATATACATATATATATATATATATATATATATATAATATATATATATATATATATATATATATATATATATATATATATATATATATGTATATATATATGTATATATATATACATATATATATATATATATATATATATATATATATATATATATATATATATATATATATATATATATATATTTGAATTTAGATCATGTATGAGAGTATGTAAATTATTATTTTATAAACATCAATGCAACCCCCTCAGTTGACTGAGGGGGGTTTAAACTTTATATGGTCAAAAATTCTCTCCCAAATTAAGTAAAGCGTTTAGGAAGGCAGGGTATAAAACGATTTTCAAATCAAACTTAAACCTAGAGGCAATATTAACATCAAGAAATAAATCCAAACTACAAACGAACAGTCAACCAGGAGTCTACCTTATTGAATGTCATTGTAGCAAAAAGTATATAGGTGAAACAAAAATGCAAATAAGAACACGCATGCAACAACACAAAAACAGTACAATAGATCTGCATTAGCCACACACATGAGATAATGTACACAACAAATTAACTGGGACAGTTGCAAAACTCTAAAAATTGATGCTAAAAAGTTTGATAGAAGAGTTCGTAAGGCACTTGAAGTACAGTACCACCAATGTGCCCTCAACAAAATGGTATAAATTTAGATGAGGGACAATATGTGTCAAAAAAATTTGGATTATCTATTTTTATTTTCAAGATGTTGAAGAAAAGATTCAGCTAAAACTACCATAAACGAAAGACCTACCGGACCAGAACTTTTAAGTTCATGTATTTCATTGTTCCATAAAAAGTATAGTCGGTATAAACATAGTTCTATCAGAATTTTCATTTATTTCATGTCTAATTTTGTCGCTTTTATAAAATTATCACTCACCTCTAATAAACTTATGAGTACTTCAGTTGCTTCTTCAAGAGGAATTGACGGGTATAAGTTTATAACGTCCAATGATATCTGAATTTCGTCACTGGATATGTCCCACGATTTTGCTTTTTTTTACGAATTGTTGCGAATTTTTTAATTGAATTGGGTTTTCATTTAATATCAGTTGTATTAGTTTTAAGTAATTTGAGATTCCGCAGTTTGGTGTGCCTATTGTAGATACTACAATTCGCATTGGGTAAGATTGTTCAGGCTTATGTACCTTCACTACACCATACATACGAGGTGGTATCGGGTCACTGAGATAAATTTGTTGATATTCATCTTTTGTGAACCGACCTTTTTTATTTAATTTCGATAGTTGGACTTTGATTTTCATTCCGTAACTTAGTGTTGAATCCTCATTGATAATTTTAGTTGTTTTTTTTATGAGGGATTGTTACAAAGCCCATTCCTTTATCAAATGGATATATATCAATATTTTTATCTTTATATTTTATTAATTAATATTTTTATATTTATTATTTTATTAATTGTGTAAATGCTTTCCGTTGTTCACGAGTCAGGTTGTCATTTTTATTATTTTTGTTTAGTTTTAATTCTCTCAAAACCTCTCTTCCCTGCGTTTGCGCAGCTTTATCTTTTTTGTTGTATTCAGGTTTTAGAGCAGATGACTCGGTTATTGAGACGATGTCAAGATACGGAAGAGATTTTATTGTTGGTACAAATTTAGGTCTAAGGTTAAGGAGACTTTTTTAATCTTCTGGAATTTCTGTGTTGCATAAATTTAAAACAGCTTCTTTAGTATAGATTGTCAAATGAGGTGTTCGCTTAACGCGTTGATCTTGAAGAAGTTTGAATTTTTTAATTAATCTGT